CTGGAATCCAGTCTTCACGGCTCACTGAACGCAAATAGAAACCACGTGACAAGCACTTCTCTCTCGTGGACAAATAAATAAAGAAATAAAGAAATAAAGAAATAACTTTCGCGGGCCTTGACTAAGTGTGGGAAATCCCACACAAAAACCTGTTGTGGCCTCGCGTTTATGTTTTGCAACATTATCGAAGTGGCAATGGAAGAGTCCCTTCATTTCTCGCAGCCCCCCAAAGCAAGAGCAGCTGTCATTTTGTCTTGCGATCAAAGTAACATACATCGTGAATTCAGGATTTTGGTTGGGGGTGGGTAAAGAAGCGCTAGCTGTGTATCTGAGTAAGAAACGTATTGTACGGTTGGGTACTGTTTCCGTCCGGTTCCAATGGTTACTTGACGATTGCATCGATTAAGCATAACCATGATGTTGCTTGTTAGTTGCTTGAAGTTTTTCCCTTCTGTTAACTTCCATGAAAAAAGTCCTAAACGGAGTACCATATGTTGTCCGTTAAGCTCATAAGGCTCATAAGTCAGCTATAGGAGGCATACGTATGTGGAAAGAGACTTACGGTAGCTGCGAAAAATCAACCTTCTATAATTTACAAGGAGGCTCAATAGTAAAGAGTTTTATGGGCTGCAAACGTTTGCACTGTAGCAGAGAAAGATGAAAGTTTGACCAAAGTTTAGGACCGTTCACAATGGCTGGTAGGATAGAAAGGATGACGTTTGCCTACCTTCAAAGATGCGTTCTTCCGATTTCTGGTGCTTTAATTGATGCTTCTCTTTATTCTTATTACTTGTCTTCTCGAAATTGTATGAATATTGTAGGGAAAAATTATTTCTTGGTCAATCATGGGAGTTAAAGGGTTGGTAATACTCTAGCGAAATAACATAACGATATTCTAAAAGCTAGATTTGGCATGCCCTCCTCTGTTTGCTATTTTCTCTTTGGGACTCGATTATATATGCGGGAATTATATATGCGGGAATGTGTTGTTGTTTCGGCCTACCAAACAGTCGAGAAAAGGAAGCTTGCCGTCTTCTTCGATCTCCCTGGTAAACTGAATGTCGGTGTTTTGTTCGTTAAGGTAATTGTGAAAACAATCACATTTCTGAACATCACCGACAAACTAATCACAGAATCGACTGGGACTCTGCTAAATGCTTAACCTACAGTACAAACTATTTTCAACGACTGACTCTGGAAAGCTGGTTTACTAACTTAGAACAGACGCCTCTCAACAGATGTCAACAATTACCAGCACCTTACAAACGACTCATTAACGACGTGAACAAACCGACAAACAGACCGACAAACAACAGACGGGTCGAAACCGACCAATGACTGTTAACAAACTCTACACGAGTCTTCCAGCCAATCACATCACGGCTAAACAGACCAATCACGTTCAACAGACCAGACTTTATAACATCATCGACTGACAACTACTCTTCACTTGACTCTGAAGATGACTACCGCACGGGTAGTCGAAACGTCAGTCGCCAACAACAGTTCTTTTCAGAACTACACTCACCCGGACGATCACACTACACGAACTAAAAAACTTAACTTGCTAAAACGAATAGCGCAACTAAAGAGGCAGTGCGGCAAGCATTAGAAAAGGATAGACCCACTCTTACCTACAACTTTAAACCGTACCAAAATCGCAAAATAAGGCCTTTGGAGCCTGAGAGGGCAAATAAGTAACAAAATCCCTGGAGAGGTCCTTAAATAATATTAATCATAATAAGATCCCTTGGCAGGGCCTTTGAGTCCAATCAACACCTAAAAGGCTGGCAAAATCCAAGAAAAGGGCCTTTGAACGATTAATCAGTAACGAATAATATAAGATAGAAAATTAATTATAGCAAATTCTGTTTTTCGAATGAAATTCCTTTCTTTTATTTAAACCATGCGGTGCCAAAGAGAAAAGCTGAGCACTCCAATAAGCCTCTTTTGTAATTAAAAGCCTATCGATCCTCTCAGAGCCGCTTGGGGCCTGTACCTGATCAATACGTTGGAACGAAAAATCACCAATGGTGCGTGGGATTCTGGTAAGATGTATTGCTACTTCACAAGTTGTTTTGTTTGTGAGCATAGCAGATTTTTGATTTCGTTATCACAAATCTGCTATGCTCTCTCGTATTTTGTCCATTATTTTCTTTGTGGCTTGTTTTTTCGATGTTTTTCGCTTTGTTGATTTTGTTTTTTGTCATCTTTTTCTTAGCACCACTTTCTGCTCTTTCACGTGATTTTGTATCTTATTCATTAGTTGTCACCCGTAATTACGTAATCACTAGCACCTCGATCTTATTTAAAGCTCTTTTTTGTTCAAAAGTTGTAAATAACTGAAGGTCTCTGACCGAAACGTTTTTATTAAATTTTCTATCTCTTTCACGTCAGAAGTTGTCCATCCTGGCATTTTTTAACTCTCTACGTTCGTGTTTGCTGTGAGGTTTGGACTGTGAATCTTCATTGATCCTCCTGGCGTGGTGCACCTTTGTTAGCCTGAGAGTTTTAGTGACAATTATATATATATATATATATATAATTGTTACTAGAACTCTTACGCCAACATATATATGGAAATATATTTATATGTATGTACATATATATATATATATATGTATATATATATATATATATATATATATATATATATATATATATATATAATTTGCACAATGGAGAATGTGCTTCCGTTTTCAACGCTTTATTCAAGACCCGACACTCAATAAGCTGGAAACCACTCCGCTTCGCGTCGTGGTTTCCTACGCTTATCTCATGTTCTCCCAACCTCCCGCGTGTTTACATCAGGCTATGTAAACACGGAAACCATTTTACATTTCTTCAATACATCATTGATTCAAAATCTGGTCACCAGTTCCTCGGCTTTCATTTCCCCACCCGAGTTCTCCACCCCAGTATGGGGCTTTTCAATTGAGTATTGTTCCACCAAAACCAATTAGTAATCATAACCACCAATCCATGGGAAGCAAAAGATTACAGGAAGGCAACAAGAACATGTGGTAAAAACATGCAGACTGCTTGAAGCAGGGGAAAATGTGAGTAACCTAGTCTTTGGTTTTGTTTCTGCATTCTGTGATAATTTTCGAGACCAATCACAGAACAAAGTAAAGCAAAATCAGTATAATCACAATTACTTTCTACACCCAACTGAAAACTGCTCTCACATCACCTGATCAGTCCAACTCCAGCTTGCCTCTGTGGAATTTCCATTATTACTCACTGCATTGATCTTTGTTTTTGATCATGAAATCATAATGATTGTATATTTTCGTGATGGTACATATTATATCTTATGACTTCCCATTGCTTCACTCGTGAAGTGAAATTAAAACATGTAAAGTTGTCATGTCCATGGCTTGGGCATAGGTTGTATTTTTCAAGAGGAGCACAAATGAATTTCCCAGTTTAAATTACCTGTTTCTTGGACCCTAGAACAAGGTCCCTCCAAACAGGTTGAGTCGAAAACTAACTCCAGTTTAAAAGCAGGGAGACGAAATTAACCACCAGGTGACATAGTGACCGAGTGGTTAGTACGCTGGACCCCCCATTGGGAACATTTGGGTTTGAGCGTGGGCTGGGTCATTGCGCCGGTCTGTGTATGCCCTAGCCCGGGAAAGACATTTACCTCCTGCAGTGCCTTTCTTCACCCAAGATTACAAAGGAGTTCAGGTAAGCTTCAACCCTTTAACCCCTGAGAGTGACTGATATCTAATTTTTCCTTACCATATCACCCCTGAATCAAACATTAAGTTCAGGAGAATAAAGGAACTGATCACCAACTAAAGAAGCTCTTGATTGTTAGACAAATACTCCTTGTCAGCAGTAATGTTTAGAGAGCAATATGGAGAATATGCATACTGATGTTAGAGTGTAAAGGGTTAAGGGAAACCAGACAAAATCCAAGAGGGGAAGGGGGAAGGCATCTGCTTTAGAACAGCATCCCATTAAGGGGACCTAGTGATACTCTGTAAAGAAGAGATAGGAATAAGTTCCAGGAGGATGTGCCACTTGGCAAAAGATCACACTTGATTTAGCAGTGGCAGAGTACAGTCAGTTTTTGGGACAACAATCAATTGTTGTGACATGACTTCAGAAAATTGTCCATTTTCAACTATGACTTCTCACCTGGTGTAAATCTATTTTCACTCCCTCACTTTCCAATGAGCAGGGTTAATTATCTGTGTTTTGCTCAGTTAGGTAAGCAAGTGCAAACATATGAAGAGATTGCTACTCTCCTTAATGGTTTTAGTGGGATGTAAGAGTGGGAACAAAAGGGATTAAAGGGCAAAGAACTGAAAGAAAACAAACAAACAAACAAACAGGACAAGTGTGAATTTAAAAAATATAGCAATGTTATGAGGTTTAATTAGTGAACTTTGTTGAACACACTATCTTTTTCGACAACTTACACTTGTTCCTAAATATCATGTTAGTAAACCCTTTGTTTTCAACCCTTTAACTCCAAGAAGTGATTGACATGTAACTTTTCCTTATAATATCCATACATCATCCAGCAAACAAGTAATAAGAATACTCAAACTTGTCAGTGCTGAGTTAATCAGTTGCTAAGTCTATTTACCACAAATATAACTGACTCTTTCAAGAATTAGGCTAACTTTTTGACCAAAATGCTAATCCAGCATGCTAGCAGCCTGGTGGCATAACAATATCCCTGTTTAAGACAAATATCAAACAGTTTCCAATGCCTCTTAGGGAGCACCCTGGAAGTCTTACAAAACTGGAAATACTTCTCATGGGATCAGATTCTAAACACAAATACAAATTCAGCTTTGATAATTTTGCATAATGGATAAGCCACCAATTGACTAAAACTTCTGTTTAATAAGGAAGTTATCATGACACATTATCTTAGGTATCTCTTGCACCATCCCTCCTTTATCACAAGCATTTATCAAGGAACAAGTGTGTTATTTACAAACATCCATTTCTGAAATTTCCTAGTTAGTTAAGGGAAAATGAAGATATAAAAGACGTATTTAAAATGTTGGTGTTTTGTGATGTTAATTTCCCTCACTGGCTTGTGAGAGTATTTAACATCCAGTAAGTAGTTTGTAAACTGGTATAAGAAAACTTTGGAGGAGAAGCAAACTATAAAAAAGATAACTACTAAAATTCATGAAAGTGAAATCAGCACTCTTATTTAAGACTACTTTAATAGCCTTAAATAAGAGTGCTGATTTCAATTAAAATTGAAATGAATGATAATCTGAGCTAATAAGGGGGTTATTAGGGGGCTAATTTTTAAGTTTACAACTCAGGCAAGCTTAATCAGATTATCTCTCAAAATGTTCTGTATGTAGCCATGTAAAGTCTACATCTGTGTGCAACATGAGAGATCTGTGTGACCAGACTGGGGTTTGCTATATGTTCTTCATGAATACACATAATCCTTTACCTATATCACTTGCTCAGATGAAATATCACGCAAACAGGTTAGACATGTGGGTGTCATGTCATTATAACTATGGTATCCATTCTTTCAGGTCATCCTCAAAACAGTGGCTTACACAGTACATGAAAGGGATTTTATCTTCCTTACGTCCAGGCATGATGTTATACACATGGTATCTCTTGACAGATGGCTCACCCACTGCATGTGCCAGGAAATCACCTTCTTCATGGTGACCAGGGCACTTAGCTGAGATGCAGGCAGGTCCACAATGAAACTTTACAGAGGGGAAACTGCTCCTGCAAACTCCATCCACCATGGCAAACACCTGCATCAGCACATCTGAGGGCTTCATCCCTTGATGACTGCAAATTAGGTGCAGTAAAAATCATGTGACATATAGGTAGTGAAGTAATTAAAGTTTTTTATCCTATACATGTTAGATATGTAAAACTGAGACACCATATCAGGGCAAAGAGCATGGAATTTGGTGGATATAAACTTAATATGTTTACATAATGATAATAATAAAGTCGTACGAGGCATTTAGATAAATGATAACAGATAAATTTCTAACTAGGTAGGTTCTCTGTTCAAAAAGACTGAGATTTGTAAATCATGAGGTGACTTATGAATGATGATATTTGGATACCTAAGTCTTAAGGAATTTTACATCCATATGGTAGACACTGTTTGCAAGCTAAGGGACACATAATCTGGGCTCAGGATAACTTTGTTGAAAGACAGGTCAAAAACAGTAGAATTGTGTCAATCATCTGTGTTAGAATCAACCCAGTTGATGTTATTGTGATACGTACTGAAAAAATTATTTTGATATTGGCCAATAGACAGTTATTTGGTGATATGAGGACAACATAGCAGAAAAGCAGTTACTCTAAAAATTACCCAAGGCAATTGATAAATAAAGTTATCCTCATTACTAAGTAAGCTCAGAAAATTTGAACAATCTTTTTTTAATTAGTAGGTATTTTATCCCAACTGTAATTTACACCAGTAGTTTTGCATATGACCTGGATATTTTTAAGTGGATCTGGTACATATTATTTGAGGTTGGCATTTTGGGTCGTCAGCACCCCTTGAGAAATGCTGGAAACTCTCTCTGAATGGATTTACTCTGTTCAATGTAAGCTGTTCCCTAAGAGCTCAGTACAGAGATGCACTGTGAGAGTTAAGCATTTTTCCCAAGAAAAATGATTTTGTAGCCCCATTAGCAATTAGTTTACACACTAGATACAATGAATAACAGAAATGAATGGAAACTCTACTAACCTGGTGAATGTCACTTCTATCATTTTCATGGCTTTTAGAAGTCTTAATCTGTAAGGCTGCTTGGGATTCAACCAGAACTTGCCAGCATCCCTGTAAACAAGAGGTTGAGAAAGCCAAAAGTCATCTTTGCTGTTCTTGTGAGCACGGGAGAGGAGACAATGAAACAAAGGCTCAGGTAGGAATTTCTTGAAAAACACAAAGAACTTTTTATCTGTGGATCTGTCACTCCACAGTTGAGTGTTCTCATCTGTAGAAATTGGCAACATAGCTGGAACAAAGTAAGCTGGTGCCAAATGTTCTTTATGTATAGGAGCCTTTTGGTAAGCCAAAGGGCAGATCAAGTCATACTCTTCAAGGAATGCAGTCACATCTTCCTTACTCTCCTGCACCACTTTTGAGAGGACACTCTTGAGTAGGAATTCTGTCAGCATTCCTTTGTCACACAATAGGTTCCAGTGACGTCTGTAACCTCTCTGAGGGATCCTCTTAGGTTGTTGGGTGACAAGCCTGATTATAATATCAATTAGTATATCAGGATTAAGCAAAACCCTCTTTGGCTCTTTGTCGAGGTACATAATAAAACCCTTCTCGTGGAAGTATTTCAGTGTCTCTTCAGTCCAGTTGGTGCAAATGAAATTGTCAAATACTCTAGGAAACTCTTCAAACCTCACACAGACTTTCACTCCCTTTTCACTCTTCATACTGATGAGGGCATCCTGGATCTGGATCCAAGAAAGAGGAATGTTCCGACCCATGGTTCCCTTAAGTTCCTCTGCAGTTGCAATAATTGCTCTCTGAAAAGTTTTAATCCCAACATCGTTTTGACCCATGGAGTTTTCAACAGGAAAAAAAAACAACTCGTCAACTTTGTTTACCACCAGCTCATCACAAAAAGGTTTCCAAAAGTTTCTCTCTAGATTTTCATTGATTCTTTCCATAGTGGATCTCTCCATGTTGCCTCTGTGTGTTCCCACAAGGAGAATTGGAGTATTTGATGTCACATGGCTACAAACTGACTCAAGCCAAAGATGGAGACTCTTTATTTTTGTGGTTAAGTCTCTGAGACTATCCTCTGCAAACTCAGCCATGTTAAATACAATGACATAAATAGCTTGACTTCTTAGAAACATATGGAAGTAGGCCTGATACTCTTTGTCTCCAGCAAAATCAAGAATCTTAAGTTTCAAGGAAGACCACTTCTGATTCAGGGCATTTTTCAATTTTTTGTGGTCTATTACTGCTTTTTCCAACTGTACTGCGGTAAACGTACCTGGACCTACGTGGTCCTGGCTAGGTGTTGATATTGCAGATTCCAACCAAAAGTATTCTTGGTGTAGTGTGTGACAGAGAAGTACTAAAAAAGTCATGGCAAATTTCTCGCTTGAAGAGGGAAGACATGCAAAAACGCATAGGAGAAAATTAATGCCTAACAACAATTTTGCCCATTGATGCCACTCTGGTAGTGATTTTAGAATTCGAGGCACTGACTCCACCAAGAAAAATACAAAGTAAAAGATGACCATCACGATAGAAACCTGATGTAGAATTTTTGAATAAAATACACCAACTGTTGTTACTAAAATGAAGCCTACAAAAGTATTTAAGATGAAACGACTAAAGAAGATGACTTCTATTGGTCTTTGGTTGTTCAATTTCAGTTGACCTGGTTGGGGACACTTTTGCTCCAAAGCAAACGATCGTGGGCCTCTTAAAAGTAAAAAAGCAACGTACCCAAGAGCGATTACTGTCGCTACAAAGAGGACAACTTGAAAAATTGCAGTTTTAGATGGCTCGCCGTAACTGATTTCGCGGAGAAAACGGAGTAACCCAACAGAAAGAAATGTTCCTACTAGAATTCCACGAGGGTTGACCATAAAACAGCACAAGCCCGCCTTTAATCTCCAATCTTCTTTTGGAGAGAAAAAAACAAACCAAGAGTCACAAAAATAAAGGAAAACAAGGATAAAAATAATACTTATGGGCAGCACGCAATGATTTTCGTTTAGAGGATCCGTAATTATTGTAATTGGTATCGTTAAACAGAATATAATTCCTAACAGCGGCAGAGCGAGACCACTGATGTTTTTCCGAAACCTAGATTGCTGGAAAATTACATTTCCAGCCCTTCCATAAAGCATTAATTGAATAAAAATCTCTAAAAAGAATCGGTTTACGTTTCCAAAAATAAGATCCTTCGTATCCAAGTTCTTCCATTTCTCATCAACAAGACTTTGCTCAATTCCTGTCGTTCTTGGCTCCATTTCGTCGAAAGGCTTTCCACTGATAGCCTTGACCAGACTTGTTTTTCCAACTCCAGAGTCTCCTAGAACCAAACACTGTCCCTGAAAAACGAACTGTTGACACGTTTGCTCAGTTTGACGAGGGTTGTGGTCGTGTTCAAGTTTCAACCCTACTTTCTCAAGCAATTCTTCGTACGTTCTCCTTCCTTCTGGTAGCCGATGTTCCAGTCGCAATTTTTCCATTATATTGCTGTGCTTATCGAGAGTTTCAGTATCAGTGACCACAATGCGCTGAAAGTCGAGGCCCGTGTTGGGATCCATGGTTGAAACAAATGAATATTTCCTCTATCAAGTCTGGGTCGGAATCAGTGACTCATTAATTTCCCGACCTCGTTTCCAGGATCTCTCATGTATGAAAAAATGTCATGAAATGCAGGACGGTAACGCAAGCACAGAAGTTTATAACATAGCGCGTAAATTTGTCTAATCAAATTCAATTGCGTGAGCGTGCTTCATATTTCTATTATGCACGCTCATGACGTCAACAAACAAATCCCTCGAGAATTTTGTATTCAATCAGAAAAGAAAGTTCATTCACATGCATGAATTCACCTGTCAGTTTTTTTGACCAATCTAAGACAAGATCGTTTACAGCGTAGCGAAATGTTTTCCTGACATAAACAAAAAATAGGTACCCAATGGGTACTTGTGTCTGCTGCAGTGGAATGGAATCCGCTGTAGGTGCCAATTTTTTTTAATACTGTTAAACTGGCGAGAAACATCTCCCGAAAGGCAGTGCCATGGAATGCTCAAGGCATCACAAAGACGGGGAACTGAAGTGGTGAATGTCCAATGCTCCAGTTGGAGGTAAGGGATCATCAATATGAATCATCAATATCATGATTGTGATTACATCTTCATCACTGTTTAAATAACTTTTATTGTGTTATGGTACTGCAAAGAATCTAACATTAAAGTGAACGTTTCTTTTATTTTGTGTTCAAGTTTTTCTTCTATTTATTTTGTGTTCAAGTAACCAATAGGTGAATATACTTTTAAAAGTATTTTGAAGTGTTTGTCTTTTAATTGAAATGAAATGTATCAGAAATGTAACGCAACAGAAATATTATCCCAAAAAAAGGAGCACGTGTACTTGTAAATAATGTTTATCAGTCAGAGAAACAATCATTTCACTTAAAACCAGTGTCTACAAAATGTTTGTTGCAAACTGTAACAAAACAGGTATTATTAACGTTTGGTATTCAGTAGTAATTTCCACTGATGTGTGACAGGAAATTGTTCATTTTATTCAGATTTGCACTGACTCCACTATTTTTGTTTGTTGTTGAATGTTATGCTGGTTATAGTTGGTAACTCTAGAAGAAAGGTAGTTATGGTTTCTTCAGTGATCGGAAGAGTGCTCTTTCCTTGTGACGCTAGCATATCATGCAGGATGTCGTTGAACAGGGTCACTGTGATCTTTGATTCTTTAATTTGTACCAGTAGTTGTCCATAACATTGTTGAATGGTGGACTTCATATTCTGCTTGAGCCCACAAGTTGAACAGGTTAGTATGGGAGACGTCTCTATTACCAGCTTTTTGTTACAGTTGCAGCAGGCTTGATATGCCGTGACACTTCGCACTCCAAGTATTTCTGCTGCTGCTGTTGTATTGGTAAAGTTCTGAGGTAGCTCAGCAGGATTAATGAGATCCACAGAATTGTTCCCAAAGTGTCACCTTAATGGCTCCATGTGGGTCCACAAGATAGGCAAACAACTTTTTTTTTTCACCATACTCTGTCTTCACTTTTTTTGTTGATGACATCTGAATAAGTTTGGCTTTGATGGTGATACTTTGATTTGTGTTTGCAGCTGAAATTGATTGGATATTGTTGGCACTTGGCAACTCAATTCTTGAAAAAGGTATTTCTTTTGTAGGCTCTAACAGTACATTGTTATTCATCAGTACTGTGGTTGCATCTCCTGCTCTTTCAATTCTAAAATTTCGAAGTTTTATTGGAGATTTCTTTTTGCTCATTTGATCAAAGTGTTCCTGTTTACTTCCGGAGACGCAGACTCCTCTTACTAAGCCATCGGTGGTTTGTATGGACATGTCAAAGTAAGATGTCTTGCTACTTTTTTTAGTTGGAGACACATTGTGTAAGAAACCAACAATCTCTTCTTTTTGTTCTTCCATTGACTGCAAGTGAAAAAGAACCTTTTGAGTTTGTTTCATAGCAATATAATGTATTTCAAAATTTCTAATAACATAGGGAGCACTGCATCAAAAGACGACGACGACTACGACTACTACTACAAATTTAACTATAACAAAAAAATGCCAAAAAAAAAAACTTACCTAGATGAATTATAATTTTTTTATTTGTTTACTTATTCATTATAAATCAATCAACAACAGCAGCCTCTACAGACAGGAAGGAATAACACTAAATGAAGGTTGGGGAGTGCAGTATACTGCAAACTGTTTATTAGATGATACTAATACTGAAAATCAAAGTGAACAAGAAATAGAAAAGAGCAGTGGTTCCAATAAGCAGGATGGAAATGACAGTAATGATAATGATGATCAGTGGACTGAAGATGAAGCAGAAACACCTGCTGGTGTTACTGACACCATGTTGACCAACACACATTATTTTGAAGACAGTCTGCCTCAACGTATTTTAAATGTTGCACCAGGAGAGGGAAACAAACCCTTAAGTATATTCAGAGATCAATATTCTGAAGAGTTAGCATATCCTGGTATATTCCTTGGTCAAAGTCGACCAGAAAATAAAGATAGACTAGCTAATGTTCATTATAGCGACATTTTTAAATCTGAACTAAGACGATCAGATAGGAGAGCTGCTATGTGTTGAAAATATATTCTTCAAAACAAAAAAGCTTCAAATGAAAATTCTCTTAGGAAAATCACAAGTTGCACTTAGGAAGTGCAAAGGAAATAGCAGATCTTCAAATGCTGGACAGTTGAAATGTGAAGGAGCAATTGAGCACTTGATTCATCTTGATGAAGGATTCCAATTTTTGAAAGCATTGATACCTTACAACTGTATGCAAAGATCTGTTCATAGCGATGCTTAGATAGTAATTATCATGAAGAATACTAGTTCTAGGTTTCTCTCCTCTGTATAAAATTGCCACAGCTTTCGCACATGTTTGTCTAGTGATAGATGTTTTCATGTGTGTAGTGAAATACATGTATCTTCTGCCAAATCCATTTCGTAAACAGGGCATATTATATCCCGCATTGGGCTTTGTAATCCCCAAGTGAGACTTAATAATTCCCTTAACGGGCTTTTCATTCCCCAAATGGAGCTCAATTGTTCCCCGAAGGAACTTTGCATTCCCCAAATGGGGCTCATAAAGCTTATTTTGCGTCTTGAGCACTTGCAAAATGGCCAAGCGATGATCGTGTTGGCGCCGAGAAAGCTTCAGTCGATTTACAAATTCAAAGCATCTTTCAAAACCTTTCACTCGGCCGGAATGACACCCAGTGCGAATGCTGTGGCAAAATGAGAAAACACCTTTTAAGAAATCCATCATAAATATGAAAAGCGAAAAGATCACTCACCTTGCAAGCAATAATATACCTTGGCTTGACGAACGAAATCAGGACAATACGACGCAACCCAAACGTTTTTCGAAAGCACATAGTTTGACGGATTTGACTTTGTCCTTTTCTCAGATTTGATTGGTTCCGAGTCTTCCCGGAAATCGGTAGTTTGCCACGACCTCTTTCCTTTGTCCTTTCCTCGTATCCGATTGGATAGATTATTCCCCTGAGGAACGAAGTTTGCACCCGAAAGTATTACAGGCCGAAAGTATTACAGGCCGAAAGTATTACCCCTCCGTACATACTTCATGTATCACATCACCAAATGGAATCCGCAGAGAAACGTCAAGAGTAAATCCGAGATCTTGTCGTATATGAAGTAGCTGGTCGCGCGTTTTACAGCTTATCTAAGTGTCTGCATGCATTATAAATGCAGCAGACACAAAAACGCACTTTTACAACATTTAAACCATCGGGTTGAAAATGTTATAAAACAATTGGTTCATACGTCAGCTGTGCGTTCATCGAGATATGAAGCACTTGGGAAGTTTGGAGAGCACTCAAGAAGCTAGAGTTGCTCTCAGCTACGCCTCGAGCAACTCTTACGCATCTTTCGTGCTCTCCAAACTTCCCGCGTGCTTCATATCTCGATGAACGTACGCTGACTTATGAACCAATTGTTAATTGCATCATGACCATAATGAACTAACTAGAGACCTCTTCGCTGCTCGTTTTCATATCTTAATAAGAGTCAACTGGATATACTTCCTGATTTTTGGTGTCTAGTGCTTTAGCACGAAGACACCTATGGAAGAGTGCAAAAAATTTCGAAAAATACTTCATATACCACAAATTACGAGGTCATACTAGTAAGGCCACATGAAAGTATACATTTTGTGATGGTCGACATGAAAGGGTAAAGAAAATGTTAACCAAAAAATGTGTAAACAAATCGATTTATAATCGCGGGGAGTCGGAAACGAAAAAACTACGACGAATTCCATTCAAGAAAAAAACAGAGCGAGGAATAGTCGAGACCAATGGAATTTGGAAACGCGAAGAAAACAACAAGTCGATGAAAAGGTAATGTTTTCTTTCGACGTTGTGCGTAGTCAAACCCACGCGTGGATGGTGAAGTAGGTAAGTGAAGCGGTCTTTTGTGGAGTCTTTATAATGAATTTCCTCAAAGTTTGTTTCTCATTATGCCACAGTTTTCAAAGCACGGTTCAATGTGAACGAGTGAAAGGCTTCAGAAAATAAAGAGAGATTGATTAGCGTGCATTACAGTGACATTTGTAAATCTGAATTGAGGCAGTCAGATAGAAGAGCGGCTATGTGTGTTGAAAACATATTCTTTAAAACAAAGAAACTGCAAATGAAAATACTATTAGGAAATTCCCAAGTTGCTCTTAGAAAGTGCAAAGGGAATAGCAGAACTTTAAATGCAGCACAACTTAAACAAGAAGAAGGAGCATTAGAGAAATTGATTCATCATGATGATGGATTTCAGTTTCTTAGAGCATTAAGAGGTTCCCCACCATAATTTGAAAAAGCAAAGAAAGACTTGTTTGCCATGATAAGACAATTAGGACCAGCCTTCAGTGTTATTTTGTAGTTTCTCTTCAGCAGAAACTCAGTGGATCCATTTGCTCAGAATACTTGGAGAGATGGTTGACCACAAACAGTACACTGATACTCATCTGGAAAATATGAACTGGGATGAAAAATGTAGGTTAATTCAAAGTGA